CTCTTCCAAGAAACTGAAATTTTGAATTTAATTTTTAGGCAGGTTTCACTGCTTCAAATTTTTAAAACCCAAAGAAAGGAGCAGCCATGGTTTCTGTTTCCTCATAAGAGGGTTCATTTTTGTGTCCAAAGTAACACCCTTTTGCAAACACATTAGTACCGGAGCTCCTACTTTTCTTTGGAAGATGAGGAAAATACAAGCCTTCCCACGAACGTAGCTCCTGGTGTGACAGTGCTCGTAAGAGGAAGGCTGCCATCGGTGATTTCTCTTTCTTCTCATTTCCATTGTGTTTGCAACAATCTTTTCAGCAGCAGTCACCGGCAGATAGAAGTGACCGCACGTTTGCAGATTTGAGTAAGCTGTAACCCTGTCCGTGGAAGTTGATTGTTCACATCCACGTCCTCCGTCAGCACCTGAACAGGCACGTTCAGATTTGCCCACTGGCGAAAAGGCGGCGCAGCGCAGAGCCTGGCACACATTTGTTTGTGGGGGTTAGTCTTCACATCTACAGTAAGGAATTAAATTAGTTCTCTAGAATTACACTAAATTATACTATTTCACAGAAGAACCAGCACATTCCAAGATCGACAGCAGGCGCTCGAACGAGGAACTTCCACTCAGCACCAACTGCCAGAAGATTTACTTACCTTGGAGTACGAAATGGAATTGTGAACTATGAGGCACAGACACTGAAGAAGCTATTTAATATGTATACGAGACAGCGCCTGAGCTAATAACCGCTTCTAAGCGGAAATAAAGGCCCAAGTCAGCTCATGAAATCTTGTGAACTCAGGGAGAACGCACAGCAGTTAATCAGCAGAAAAAATTGGCTTCAGATACTAAGTATTTGGGCCACAGTTGCATCTTCCTCGTTGTATCTTGCAAGTATGATACTTTCTGTAAATTCATACCTCCTGGTTTAAAGTAACATGAAAATTATTTCTGATAATTTGGCAGGAGGTGGCTAAAAGCTTACGGGCAAAGAGCTTACAAGTTCACTAATACTTATATTATTTTCTCTACAAATTCTCCCATTCATTGGCTTTTGAAGTCAACAGCCATCATCAGAGATCCTATAGCCAGCATTTAAACAAAAGCCTAGACCAACTCAGGAATTTTTACTTTGGTTTTGAAAGTGCTTTTGCAGCATAACTTCTTGTACGTAGTATATTTCGGTAATGAATTCCATGTTTTTATTCTCCTCTGGGCTTAAGATGGAGAACAGCTGATGAAAGCCCTAAATCAAATACAGGCATTACCTTAAAAGACAAGAACCAGACCACTGTAAGTTTAAAAAAAACCAAACATTGGATTTTATTATTTTTAGACAATTTAAAAAAAGACCAAAAGGATTTAAAAAACCATTACCATCTGATACACCCACTATTCCGTAAAAACATACTAGTTTATTGAAGCATATGCATCATGTGTCCTCTTATAGTTGTAAAGTCATGGAACAGCTTGTATCTGTTGTTGCAGTTAGGTGTATTTTTTCCTTCAGTAGGGCTTCTGCTTAAATAGGCAAAAAGTGGCATTTTCAGTACATTTGTAGAGTTCCCAGAGGTTTTGAAAGCTCATGGTAATCAAAACTACTATTTTTTACCATGTGCCGTATTAGTGACTGCCTGCTCAGAGAACATGTATGTGTTTAAATGCTCTCCCGCTTTGTACTTTGCCGTATCCCTGGCTGAGGTCATACCAGGGTATCTTAGTAGCAAATAAAGGAGTTAATTGGTAGAGAAAAGAAAAGGCTGTTGTTGAAAAGAATCCTGCATCACAGAAAAAACCCCTAAGGTATGTCATTTACTTCAAGACTATACTCAGTCCTTTGGAAATGGATCTCCTGAAATGCTGCAGGCAGAACATGAGCAAGTTCCCATCGCTGTAGAACAGCTCCTCTATGAAGACAACAAAGATTACACCAAAAAACCCCCCAAGACCAAGTCTTTCAGCCTTACGTAGGAGCACTGCTCACGAGTACCGAAAGCTTTCTTTAACAGCAAAGAACTGGGCAGCTGCGGTAGACGTCCTCGCTGGCGAGAGCTGAAGCAGGGGTTCAGCTGCTAGGCTGCTAGCCCCACGCGCTAGGCTGCTGTGGGGTTTTTGGTTTTGTTAGATCAAGGAAGTGCTCTAGACCCAATAGAGGCATCATGTCTTTGCTCAATACTAACGTCAACTTTAAGATGCCTCAGGAACATTCTAACCTCTCTAGAAAGCGAGTGCTATTAACCACATTTCTCAACTGTGCTGCTTCATCAGCCTCCGTGACCGCAGCGCTGCTGTCCTGGCTGCAAACGACGTTGCACTAACCAGACGTGTTGGGCAGTCAGTCCCTCAGCAAAGCCAGCTCAGGAGGGCTACAGCGGAGGGGTGGTGCACGTCCGCATCGCACTTCAGCCACAGATGAACGAGAAGGGCCTTTAAGAAAGACCATTTTCACAACTAGACGAAAGGGAGGCAGCCTGATTTCTAATACAAAACCCAAACCCAACGCTATCTTTCCAGGGAAGAAACCCCAAGCAATAGTATCTCTCCATATTGTAGAGCTGTGTTTAGACACGAGGTTTTCTTTTCTGTCTGTTGTAAGATATCCTTTGCCTCTAAAGGCCCCTTTAAAACACTATGCTGATAACCTGACGTTATTAAAACCCAGTATCCTCTGGAGACAAGTGATACAGGCAAGGAAGATACAAAAGCCGCGTAGCACATTTTGAAATCAAAACAGTACTTCATTAAAAAGAGACACATGAAATGAGTCAATATTTATTCTTTCTTCTCGCTATCCTCAGTGATAGGGTCTGCGGGAGGCTCTTCCACTGTCGCACTATTGCTCTCTGAACCAGTGTTGCTATCACTGGTTCCCTCCTCTGCAGTGCTATCAACCCCTTCTTGGCCACTCTCCTTATCATCGGGGATAGATGTTCCTTCTTCACCATTCTGCTGGTTTTCTGTGCTCTCTTCTGGGTGAGGCTCTTCTGTAATAAGAGATTTCTCAGTGTCATTTACACGCCAACACATTTATTTAGGTTGTGCAATTAGAATTTAGGAAGAAACACAATCTGTTTTCCATAGCAATTTTTTCTGTCACTTAGAACATGCAGTAACAGGCACAGCTCTGAAAGACCTCTCAGTGCTTATGATGTACGGTCCTGCCACACGGCATCCTGGAAGTCACATGCAGCTGACTGACCCCAAAAGTCTAGCCACGAGAAAGCAACGTGCCTTGTTAAATCAGAAGCACTAGAATTCAAACTCCTTAGTCCCCTTTCCCTTACACTCATGCTGTTACAGCAATGACTCACTGAGATATTAGCCACTGATACTCTCAAATACAATAATATTTTCTTATGTCACTGTACGGAATACAAGCTGATTTGCAGGCTTTTCTGTAAGAGCAGCATGGAAAGAAGTGCTGTTCTATCATCCTTGCTAGACGCTGACATTGGGACGAGGAAATGCTCTCAGTTGCTCCTAGCTAACCGACGTCCAAAAGGTGAGTTAGGTTTAGAAAGCATTCTTCCCCCCTTGGGTACATTACACACAAAGCATGACACATGGCTTTGTGGTATCTTACCCTCTCCCCTTTCTAAGAGGGGCAATTTAATGAGAAGAAAGCAAACACCCGTGTTCACCAAGATGAAGCCAACTATTCTGAATGTTGTTCTTCTGAAGCCTTTCTTCCTACTAACAGCAAAAAACCAGGGCACTCCTCCTGGCTAAGCTGAGCCTCTACAGAGATACTTTAACGCTGATCCTTCGAGGATTCTGAAGCTGGTCTTCAAATGCAGTTACCTGTCTCCATCGGAGCACTCTCCTCTTCTTTCTTCTCCTCTATCTTGTTAGCTGCCTGTTCTTCCTCAGCTGCTATGTTACTCTGACTGCGTTCGGCTTGCTCAGCTGCTTCTTTTTCCCTTTCCTCCTGCCTCTTGCGAGCCTGTTCCTCAGCTTGAGCAATTTCAGCTGCAATTTTTTCCATATCCACTTCTACCTTCAAACTGCATAACTAGAAATTTAAAAAAAAAAGGAAAGCTCTTCTACTATCCCAATTACTTTGAAAAACAAAACATCAGTAAAACCCAATTATGAGTTCAGTATTTCTACACGTAGCGTAATTCTTTTGATTTGACAAAGTTTATATTAAAAGCTTCAGTAACTAGGGAGGGAGATACAAGCATATTAACAAAAAAAGGGGCGGGGGTAAATAAACAACCTAAACTTGTTATTTGAACGCAGCCAAGGACAGAGCAGTGTGTTCTCCACAGCGGCTTTAGGCCACCTTCCTTGAGCTGCTCTCTAGTAAACTCAACCAGTCAAGCCTGAAGACACTTTTAAACTGTACCGGCTGAATGTCACCACTAAAGGTCACTGAAGGAGCGTGAAATAATACAAACGCTGCGTGATTCCAACACCCACACACCAGGACACTGCAGTCATCAGTTGTGTAATTATACGTAACTGAATACAGAACTAAACAGAAGCGGGTAGAGCACTTGTACAAATGGGTAACTAGCAGATTCCTCAGAGTAAGTGGAGAAAAGCAGAGTTGTACCCTTTTAAGCTCATTGTTAAAGGATTCTGTGCTTTCCAAAAACTTC